GGCATGTTGCATGTGCCAGCCCCCTGGGCTCTTTATTGCCGGAGCTCCGCTCCTGTGCACTCCTGCAGGAAATGACCCCTGAATAAGACCTCTCTTCTCTTTCTTACTTGGGCTTGGAGCTGTAGTGAGTTAACCTTCTGAAGCTAATCTGATCACAATACGCTAAATGTACCTACGTGAATATGTCATGTAAGATGTGCTTCTATTTCTGCAAGTAAAATTTCCTTCTCTTGTTACCACTGGAGTCAGATCATCTTTGTCATTTGTTTGAACAACATTTCCCCCTTAACCGGGACACATGGAGGGATCGGGGGTACTGCATAAAGCTTCCGTGCTTCCAAGGCAGTTGACTGTTTTACATTTAACCCAATAGGGTCGGCCCTGGCTAGGATTTGGACAGGAGACCACCAAGGAAGTCCAGGGTTGCTACGCAGAGGCAGGCAATGGCAAAACCACCTCTGTTTGTCTGCGGTGACCTTTTGTCCATCCTGAACCTACTGCCCATCAGTTTTATTGGATGCCCTCGAGTGCTAGTATTTTGGGAGAGGGAGAAAAATTTCTTTGTCAGCTTTCTCCATAGGGAAGGTGCTCCAACTCCCTACAATCATCTTGGTTGCCCTCCTCTGTACATTTTCCAGCTCTACAATGTCCTTTTGGAGATATGGTGATCAGAACTGTAGATCTTGGAAGCTAAGCAGGGTCGGCCCAGGCTAGTATTTGCACGGGAAGCCACCAAGGAGCTCCAGGGTTGCTGTGCAGAGGCAGGCGATGGCAAAACCACCTCTGAATGTCTCTTGCCATGAAAATCCTACAGGATTGCCCTAAATAAATAAATAAATAAATAAAGCTGGCTGTGAATGGAGCAGCAAGAGATCAGGCTCTGCCGGCCTTTCCGTTCCCCCGCTGGTTCTGTTACCCTCCCTTTACATCTCCGCTAAGAAAAATGGCTTGGCTTTTATTCCGCAGCAGGCAAGGAAGACGAAAAGCTCTTTCACTCATTTGGACCTAAAAAAACACACACACACAAGCAAGATCTCTGGGCTGGGACCTGGCAACCCTAAAGACTGAGCTTACAGGCAAAGGTCTGTTCCTGATTTGAGCCGTGCCGTCGGGTTCCCTGGCAGTGTTTGTACAGTGGAGAGACGCACCGAAGCCCTTTTCCCAGGGAACTGCCAGTGTACGACCCACGAGCGCACCAGGCCAATAAGGGTGGAACCAGGAGCACACGGGTTCAAATCCTTCGGGAAGTTGTGCAGACTTTGCCGGGCGGTTGTGGCCTTTCCGTCCAGCACTTACCGGCATGGTTTGGCTGCCGTGGAGGCTGCTGATCGCCGCTTGCGCCTCTGCGTGGCTCCCATATTTCACAAAGGCACATCCTAGAGGGAGAGAAGGTGGCAACCGCCAGCTTAGAGGCACGTCGGAAAATGACCGAGAGTGGTACAGGATGGTGTTTTCTAGTGGGGCAACTCAAATGGTCGTAAGAAGGTAGTTGTTCTTCATCTATACTGTTAGGTAGGCCTCATCGGTCTATCTTGTCAATTTTTATCCTGCGCTTCTTCCAAGAAGCCGAGGCTGGCGTACATGCATTACCTTTATCCATTTTATCCTCACAACAACCCAGTGAATAAATAAATAAAGCTGGCTGTGAATGGATGTCACGGTCCACTGCTGGAGCAGTGAGAGATCAGGCTCTGCCAGCCTTTCCGTTCCTCCCCTTACATCTCCACTAAGAAAAACGGCTTGGCTTTTATTCCGCAGCAGGCAAGGAAGACGAAAAGCTCTTTCACTCATTTGGACCTAAAAAAACACACACACACAAGCAAGATCTCTGGGCTGGGACCTGGCAACCCTAAAGACTGAGCTTACAGGCAAAGGTCTGTTCCTGATTTGAGCCGTGCCGTCGGGTTCCCTGGCAGTGTTTGTACAGTGGAGAGACGCACCGAAGCCCTTTTCCCAGGGAACTGCCAGTGTACGACCCACGAGCGCACCAGGCCAATAAGGGTGGAACCAGGAGCACACGGGTTCAAATCCTTCGGGAAGTTGTGCAGACTTTGCCGGGCGGTTGTGGCCTTTCCGTCCAGCACTTACCGGCATGGTTTGGCTGCCGTGGAGGCTGCTGATCGCCGCTTGCGCCTCTGCGTGGCTCCCATATTTCACAAAGGCACATCCTAGAGGGAGAGAAGGTGGCAACCGCCAGCTTAGAGGCACGTCGGAAAATGACCGAGAGTGGTACAGGATGGTGTTTTCTAGTGGGGCAACTCAAATGGTCGTAAGAAGGTAGTTGTTCTTCATCTATACTGTTAGGTAGGCCTCATCGGTCTATCTTGTCAATTTTTATCCTGAGCTTCTTCCAAGAAGCCCAGGCCGGCATACGTGCATTACCTTTATCCATACAACAACCCAGTGAGGGACGTTAGGCTCAGGCAGAATGATCTGCCAAACTGAGCTTCATGGTAAAGTTGGGATTCGAACCCAGGCCTCCCAGAGACTAGTCGGACACTCTAACCACTACACCTTGGCTATTTTCTGCATCGTCTCTTTTGTGTTGTTAATCCAAGGGCCAGTTCACAATTCTATCTTTTGAACCGGGTAAAACATCCAATTAAACAAGCCTCAGTTTCAATAGCAGAAATGCATGCATGGCACACAGTGGATAATGCACTGAATTCACATGCACTGAATAATGCACTTTCAATCCACTTTCAGTGCACTTTGCAACTGGATTTCACTGTGCAAAATGGCAAAATCCCCTTGCAAATGATCGCTAAAGTGCCTTCAAAGGGGATTCAAAGTGCATTATTCAGTGTACATGAAGGCATGAACAGAGCATGCATGTTTAAAGTGCCAAGTTCCTCCACAATGAAGAACAAAGCAGAGTATGTCTCTTTCTCAATCTTCTGCGTAATATCACAAGAGTACGGATACGGAAGCAGACATTGAAAACTGGCTCGTTTTGCCACTCAGACAGGCAACCTGACATTAAAGTGGCTCAGTGATCAAGCTGGACGGATGACCCTGGGCTGACCACATTCAGTCTAACCTACCCAAGAAGGCTGTTGTGAACATAGCATTATTGGGGTCCTTCCTTCCTTCCTTCCTTCCTTCCTTCCTTCCTTCCTTCCTTCCTTATCCATAAATAACAGGGTAGAACAAGATATCTAATAATATGTAATCAATGAACCATTGCTTGGTGTATCACACACAATATGCTCTCTTACTGACAGGGATTTTTCAAGTACCTTTGTAACTCATCACTCAGGGTCATATAGGTTTCCTATTTCATTCCCGTCTGTCACTCAGATTTTTTATTTTTCTCTTTAACTTTACTTTCTTGTTTCCTTATACTTTCAACTTTTCTTCATACACAAAACTTAACACTTGTATCACACACCATACTGTCTCTCTCTCTCAGACTTCAAAACTAACTTATCCCCCACAGGGATGTGTCTCCTCTCATACACAGAACTTAACTAACTCCCTAACTGTCTTTATCAACTGTCA